CCTCCCCCACCCCCAGGGTTAGTTGGCTAACTTTGTGTTTTCTGTAAGCTAGTTGTGTTCCCCTCCTCACCCCCATCCCTCGTATGTTAGTTCCTTGGTCCGGCACTCTGTATTTTCCTTATGGATTTGTCATCTTTTTGGTTCATGACTCATAACATTCACTAATAAAATTCAATCTCAGCATATGTCAGGCCAGAATCAAAAAGAATTTCCAGGGATTCCTGAGCACTATGTACTTAACTTGACTGCACTTCCTGGGCAGCAGGGTGCACAGATTTTTATCCCTGAAAGGCCTTTGAATAAGTAGATTACCATGATCTTAGTAGAGGTAGATAGTTTATGGATTAGAGAATTTAACGAGTCCCAAACTTGAAGGAGCAGAGTTTCTGCTATCTTCCAGCTTAGTGGATGTCAAGATGGGTGCCTTTTGAGTAGTTATCCTCTTTTGATTGTCTTTCTTTAATTAAAATTTGTAGCTGTTTTGCTACAGCATTGCCCCATAATGTCCTACACTGCCTATAAAAAGCTTTGTAGAGAAGAGCAAGCCCCCTCCTTGTTCATCCTGCATTCCCTAGAAATACCACCTTCCCTCCAATTATATGGTTTTGGTGTTCAGTTTAGCTCTTAGTTAAAGTGCAGACAAGCTTCTAGGTTTTACAATTTTTTTAGTCCAATGAAATGTTTGGTTCCTTCTGTCTTCTCTCATAGGACTTTTGTTTGTCAGTTGATACCACCCTGAGTATTTAAAGAAAATATGGTCCTAAGTGTGAGAGCAAAAAACACAAAAGACACTTTCAAGAGAAGTGGTGCAGGCTCCTACCCTGGGGGTTTTTAAGAGGAGGTTAGATGAACACCTTGCTGGGGTCGTTTGACCCCAGTACTCTTTCCTGCCATGGCAGGGGGTCGGACTAGACAATCTGCTCAGGTCCCTTCCGACCCTAGAAACTATGAAACTATGAAACATTTCAGTTTGCATCATCAACTTCCCAAATCATATTAATTAGAAATATAATTTTGAAATGCTCTGTAAATAATTTGTCATGTGCTGTTATTGATCATTATACTTAGTAACACTTAAAAAAACATTACCTTGACAGAATTCTGGAGGACTGTGACTGGAAAAGTTTCACTAGGCATGGAACTTAAATAGAGTCGAAAATTCTCATGAATACATACATCTGAAAAACAAAGAATTTAGATGTTCAAACTAATTCACAAGTCTTAAAAGCAAATCACTACAAGAAGACATATTTAAAAGGAAGTGCTTAGTTACATACACTATTTAACACATTTGTTCACAATCTGGAAGAGAGTAAAGCTGCATTGTAATTAAATTTGCAGATAGCAATTTGGTAAGTGTTACAAATATCAATGGAACTAAAGATATAGCATAAAGAAACACAGAAAACTTGGAGAAAGGGAAGGTACGAAATAAAATGAGACTAAGGAAATTTCACATGAAGAAAAATTTAAAAGAAAATTAACAACTATTATGATGAAGGAAAAAACCTGAAGAGCAATGACACTGAAAGAGACTAATAATGACAGTGGACAGTTAGATAGGAGTGTGCAGTGGGATGGTAACAAAAAAATGGTAATGCAATTTTGAGTTGTATATGCAGAAGCACAAAGCCATAAACAACGCTGCCTCTTTATCTGACGTTTGCTGGAATGTGGCATTCAGACCGGGCACCTCTGTGCTAGAAAGCTATAGAAAACACTGAATGGAACACAGAAAGGAAATACAATAATTGCATTGAGACACAGAGAAACAGTCAAAGATTTAAGGGCTAGATCCAGATCAGCCTTGTAGGTGCATCCACTGTGGCACTGCAAAGCCTGAAAACTAGACCTCTTGCCTCAGGAGAGCGATCCAAATAGGCAGAGCTGGGTAGGACCCTTATTGACTTAATGGGGAGAGGCAGGTGCCTCTGAACAACAATCCAGAGTCAGCCAGTAGGAAACGCTAATCACCAGGGCATGTCTGAAATCTTACTTCATCTCTGGAACAAATGCAATTGAGTCAGAGCTATACATTAGGCACCTCCATTCACTGAGGATCCAGGGCACACTTAGGTGAGGTGGCTGACTGACTGGTGGTGTTGAAGGTAGTGCTCACTCTTTCTCTACTAGCCTGGTGGTCAGAGTGCTTGCCCAAGTAGAGGGAGACCTGGGTTAGAGGTCCTCCTCAGTCTGAGTAGCTTCAAGTCTGCATCTCCCACCTCCCAGGATAATGGGAAAGCCCCTCCTGTTGAAACTTTGCGAAAGGAATGCAAGATGCATGGGACAAAAGCAAGAAACAGCCAGAGGGAGCCTGACTGGGTAGCTCAGTGATGATTCCCCGGGGGGCAAGAATCAGCTTGGCTGGGTGCAGACTTAGGAGAATTAGGAAGGAGCACAAAGAAACCAGGATTTTTAAAGGCAGAGAAAGGACAATCAGAGACTTGACAGTGGGTAAAAATTAGATCAGACAGACTTAGCTATAACTACTGCTGTAACAAGTTTGGCTGCCATGGCTGTTAGGCAGCTAGCAGAAGGAAGCTTTCCATGAACAAAGTCTACAAGTCTCTGGGAATTAAGTCATGCCTCTGCTTAATGGTTGGAATTTTCCTTGGGTGGTGGCTGAAGCAAGCTTTTATTCTAATTTTTTAAGTACAAAAAGCTTTAGTTTGAAGCAGTGTATCTGCTAAGCCTGTGCAAATTGGGTAGCGTTCACTTTGGATTCAGATTCAGCCATTTCATAGTATCATCGTAGCTAGGGTCAGAAGGGACCTAAACAGATGATCAAGTCCGACCCTCTGCCTTGGGCAGGAATGGATGCTGGGTCATATGACTCCGGTCAGGTGTTTATCCAGTCTCATCTTAAAGACCCCCAAGGTAGGAGTGAGCACCACTTCCCTTGGAAGCCACCCTAACCATAAAGTAAAGCCTCCTGATGTCTAGCCTGAACCTGCTCTCTATCAACTTGTGGCCGTTATTCCTAGTTACCCCATGTGGTACCCGGGGGAACAGGGCATCTCCTATTCCCTGCTGATCCCCCGGTGAATTTGTAGATGGCCACCAGATCCCCCCTCAGCCTTCTCTTGTGGAGGCTGAATAAGTTCAGGCCCTCTAGTCTCTCCTCGTATGGCCTGATCTGCTGCCCCCTGATCATGAGAGTGGCCCATCTCTGGATCCTCTCAATGCTAGCCATGTCTCTCTTGAAGTGCGGCGCCCAAAACTGGACGCAGTACTCCAACTGCAGCACGACCAATGCTGCATAGAGGGGGAGGATCACCTCCCTGGACCTGCTTGTAGTGCATCTGTGGATGCATGATAAAGTGTGGTTAGCCTTACTGACAGCTTCCTTGCATTGGCGGCTCATGTTCAAACTGGAGTCATTGTCCAAGATCCCTTTCCGCCTCTGTGCTGATGAGGAGTGTGTTCCCCAGCCTATCGGTATGCTGCTGGTTCCTTCTTCCTAGATGCAATACCCTGCACTTGTCTGCACTGAATTCCATCCTATTCTCATCTGACCACCTCTGTAACCTCTCCAGATCTAGCTGGATTCTGTCCCTCCCTTCTGGCATGCCCACCTCACCCCACATCTTGGTGTTATCAGCGAACTTGGATAACGTGCTTTCCACCCCCTTGTCCAAGTCATTGATAAAGATGTTGAACAGTATGGGCCCAAGGACCGAGCCTTGGGGAACCCCACTGATTACATCCCTCCAGGTCAAAAATGACCCATCCACTACCACTCTCTGGCTTTTTTTTTTCCTTAAAGGGCTGGAGCTGGCATGTGTGGGGCACTCATGGGAGGGCTGGGGGAGTAGAGGGACAGCGGGGGACAGCAGGGATTGCCCCCTGCCTGGCAGCACCCATTGAGCACAGGGCTTTTTTTTAAAGTACCAGAAACTATGGTGGACGGGGGCAGCCATGGGAGTGCTGGGGGAACAGGAGGGGGTTGGAGGGGCTGTGGGAGCAGGGAGGGTTGGGGGGGGCTGGCAGGGGTCCCCGCATTGTCCCTTCCCCCACCCCTCCCCTCTAGTACTTACCAGTTCAGACTCAGTTGTAGCTCTGCCTGAATCATCAAAGCTCTCTGAATGTTTTCCGAAGTTTTGGAGAGCTTTGAATTGATTCGGACCTTTAAATTGGCCCCGATTCAATTCAGATTCAGGGATTTGTCTACCAAATCAGGACAAATCTCCTCCAAATTGAATCACCACCCGAAGCTTCACACAGCCCTAGTATCTGCCAACCACATGTCATAGCTGGAACAAAAACAGTACTGCAAGGGACTTAACATGTAAGCCCCCTAACAATTCATACCCATGGCTTCATGCACAAGACACGTACCTAGTCACTGCCAGGCTACATTTGTTGTTTGCCTAACCAGCCCTCTCAAGTACAATTGGCTTTCACCAACTTATCCTCTTCCAAACACCTTTAGTTGTAAACATCAGGGGGATGTCTACACCAGCTCCCTGCCATGCCTGGGAGTGCCACTGTGAAGAACTTCCTCCCAATCCACATGCAACAACTCCTGAAAGTGAAGTATTGCAGCTGCCTTACAGCAGCCCTAAGCATATGTTTGGCACTGCTCTCAGGCTCTCTGTCTCACTGCTGCACTAAGGAGGCTGTCTTACCTGTTCCTAGGGTCTGGCATACATGGAGTAGAATCATGGTGACATCCTTGGGCAGGGCATGGAGATGGTGCAGACAGGTACATGCTGCAGTACTTTGATGGGTTAGGAAGGGGGAGTTTGGTGAAGATTTAGATGAATCTGACATAAATCTTCCTCTATTAAAGTTCCATAAAATAAGGATACAATTTTGCTGTTTGGTAAGGCATTGAGGATA